TCCGAGCACTTCACACCAATTGAGCTGCTTTTGTTTAACTTGACTGCTGATTGGTGGGCGTTTCAAGAAGATTGCATGTGGGAGCCTACGAGTATATGTATGTACATTAGGGTGGTCTTTAAAGCCAAAAGAACGATTTTGTCCAGTCTCACCCCTTCAATTGGTAACACCACTATCATAGATATCGCATATAAATTTTGGTCCCCATTAGATACGGTTAAGGCGTGTCGCATAGGGGTCAAAGGCCAGATGCCTCTAGGGACTAAAAAAAAAAGTTTTTTCATTTAATGCCCAATATTGATACTACTAAAGTCGAGGATATCACCCATAAATTTTAGTCCCGATTGAAGTCGGCTATGACGTCCTCATAGGGTAATCTGAACTTTGACCCCTGTGCGATACGCCTTAACCGACTTCAATCGGAACCAAAATTTATATGTGATATCTTCGGCAATGATAGCTTCGATTTTGGATATTAAACGAAAAAGAAAATATTTTAAATTTTTGAGTCTCCATAGAGGAATCGGAACTTTATCTCCTGTGCGACACGTCTTAACCTTCTCCAATCGGGACCAAAATTTATATGTGATATCTTCGGCTATAGTAGCATCGACGCATGGGTTGAGGCTTACAAAATCTGATGTACAAATCTGCTCCCTAAATTTAAGGCCCACCCTAATGTTGATACATATATATATATGCGGTTTGTTCCACGAAAGCTGAAAGGTGTAGAAGAATTTTTGAATGTTTGAATTTTAAAATTAAAGTTTTATCGAGTATTTAAAAATCTGATTGCTGTTTCCCAAATAAACGAAATTCTCTACTTTTGCGAAATTTTAACCGTCAACAGTGACGTGTAGCTTTTATCCCTGAAAATATTATTAGCTGTTTATAACCTGGTATCGGGTTATCTGGTGATAAATTATTATTCTCTAGTGTATTTTATTTCTTTACACTGAGTTTAAAATATAACCACATAACCGGATAGCCTGATAACCAGGCAGGTGTGGATACCCCAATTATTTTCACTTTTAGTCCATTTATCGTGAGACGGTCTAATGTGCATAGTTTATTTAGATATATATATGTTACATATGCATATTCTTCTACATACTGTACATACATAAGTACATTCAAAAGTTCCTGTTTCATTTCACTTTAAAGTGTTTATAAAGAATAGCAAATGTAGTGATGTCAGCATTCCTTCAGATACTCTAGTTGAAAATGTTTATTTATTTTGTCTGGGTTTTTCTTAAGACTCCAGCTTATAGTACATACCTACATATATGCATACGTACATATGAACATTAGGGTGGTCCAAAATTATATTTTCCCAACAACCCCCACAACTGAAAAATATCGAAAATAAAGAAATGCGTGATTCTTAATTTTGAAATCGCTTAAGTTAAAAAAGTTGAAGTGGAAATATGAATTTAAAGTAATGGGGTTGCACTTGCCCTCAAAATTTGTGCTCGATTACTCAAAATGGAAGCGATTTTGAGATGATCCTCAACACAATCTACAAAAATACTACTTTGACGAGAAAAGAACGAAGTTGACAAAATCTGTACATATAATAAAATTTTAATTTTAACCTTTAATAGGTTGATGTCTGTATATTATAGATATTAAAAAAAAATAATAAGGGTACTCATTTAACAGCGCAAAACTCTCGCAAACTGGGCAAACTGTGCAATTTAAACCCTCGCAAATGAAATGTCAAAATTTGTATGGAAAGCCATTTGCACAAAAAGGAAACTTTTGCGCGGCAATTTTGTAGCGCAACTTTGCGCATTGTGCTGTACAATCCTCAATCAGCTATTTTGTTTACATTCATTTTGGTTTGTGCTCAACGCTTTTTCGAAATAACTGCGGTAAAACATAAATATTTGCTCAAATTTGAGTTTCAATTGTTCAACTTTATAAATTAAGTAAAGTGAAATAATTAAATGTCAGAAATTGCATAAAATATAAAATTGTCCTCATGAAACACATGGCGCAATGTTGCCCAATTGCCCAAATATGAAACTTGCACGTGTATATGAGTACCCTTAATAATATGAAGGATCTTTATTAGGCCAACAAAAGCCAAGTCAACAATTTTTAGAATCTTTGTCTGTCTGTCTGTATGTTTGTTCGCGCATCACTCGAAAACGAATGCATGGAATTTAATGCATTTTGCACCGATGTATTGCTAGCGGTCTAACATAAAATATAGAAAGAAAAAAATTAGAACTTTGCCACGTGTTTGAAAGTTGCAGCTTGAGTAAATTGATTAATTAAAATAAATATTGCAATAGGGCTGTCAAAAGAAAGAGGTTTAAAAAGGCTTATAGCCAAACATTTTTTTGTTGAAGGTTGCCATCTGTTTGAAATGTTTAATTTATTTTAATTGATAAGATGAACTGAATATTGCAATATGGGCATCAAAATGAAGAGGTTTAAGAAGTTTTACTGCCGGAAATATGTTTGAGTAGGGTTGCCACCTTTTCAGAAAGAATACCCCATATGTATTTTGCTCTGATCGCCACACTTACCCAACCGACCAACCCTCACCAAAAACGCCGCTGGGTTGGAGAGTTACTTCATAGGAATTCTCATTATGAAAATGTTAAATATTTTTTCCATCCCAATAAAATTTGATTTGCATGGCCAGTGAGTACCTAGTCTTGCGGTCATTAAATGTGAAATTATTTAAGCGCATTCATACTCATTAATTAAACTAGAACTTGCTACTTTCATTTAAATGTTATTGGTAACTATTCGTCCGAGTAATAATTTAAATTAATAAATTTATACTGAGTGTTGTATGTATACATATGTACATTAGACTGCATCACCCCCCATACAAAAAAAAAATCAGTACTATTTTTCCAATGGAATTATAAAATCTATTATATTTTAAGACGTCCACCAAAATATTTCGGATAAATATTAAGATTTAAGTGAGCTGGTCCGATTTGAAAATACCTCCAAAGATGGAGTTTTTTATGAATAAAAATAGTTTCTTAAAGATTTTTTTTTTTGAAAAAATCCCCTCAAATGACGAAACGGTTTAAGCTTAAAAAATTTGCGTAAAAATATTTTTTAAAAATCAAAAAAAAATTTTGAACGTAATCGTAATAATGAGATTTTTGATGCTGTTTTTTAACTTTTTTCAAAGATTGGTATAAGAAAAACTTGAATAACTGAGCCTAAACTCTCCCGATTTAGACTTGTAAGATATCATTGGAAAGGTATTTTCTCACCCTTTTTATTTCTTTGCTAATAAACTCATTCAAAGGATGAAAGGGAAAGGTAGGATGAACGAATATCATTCAAAGTTGAATTAAGATGTGTTGGTATTTGAAAAAAAAATATTGGGACACGAATGAGTTTTTTTGCACATAAATGAAAATAGTGGGAAAATACCTTTCTACTGAGATGCCATAAGTCTTAATCAGAATAGTTTTGGCACAGTTATTTAAGTTTTTCGTAAATCAATCTTTGAAAAAAGTAAAAAAACAGCATCAAAAATCACATTATTACGATTGCGTTGAAAAGATTTTTAAATATTTTTATGCAGAATTTTTAAGCCTAATTGTTTTGTCATCTGAGGGCACTTTTTTCAAAAAGTTCTTTAAGAAACTATATTTATTCTTAAAAAACTCCACTTTAGGAGGTATTTTCAAATCGGTCCAGCTCGCTTAAATCTTAATATTTTTCCGAAATATTTTGGTGGACGTCTTAGAATATAATAAATTTTGTAATTCCGGTGGAAAACCGCAACTTTTTTTGGTGATACAGTCTAATATACATATGTATGTATGTTCGTGCATATGTGTCTTCCTTTTGCATTTTTGAATTTTTGCACACAATTATGACTGATTGATGAACTCATGCATATGAGGAACATACAAAGATACATATGCAAATTAGGTTAATCTATCTTTTGAATGTCATTATATTCGTAATAACTCATCAAGAGCCTATTTTCCAAAAAAAAAAAACTATGCTAGCAATTTTGCCATTCGCAGTGTGAATAACTAAAAAGTGATTTAGAAATGTTTAGTTGACAGCCTCTCCTTTCCAGATCTTCCGGGGCGTTGCTAAAGGCAACGATTTAGAAAACAAGTGAGCTAACTCGCTCTTTTGCGCTGGGGGAGGCCCTATTCCATTCCGCCACGACAGTTCTGCCGCTTAGCACGCGGGACATTTTCCATACTACGTTGTACTTAACTCAGAGCTTACCCAGCATCTTTTCGATCGCCTGAGGTGGCATATTATTAAAGATTCCCGAGATAGTCAAGGAACGGAATATCGATACCGTTATCACCAATTAGGTGCTCGCGGACTTGGTTTCTCCAAAACTGTAATTTTTCAGTGTAGAGAAGTACTCGCTCCATAATTTAAGAGTGCTTTGGACATCTGTCACCAGGTCACCGTTCTTATTTTTACAGCAGCTCGTCTCGATCTTAAAACCTTGAGTCAGTCGCAGAACCTTCGAGAAAGAAAAAGCTTTGAACTTATTTCCTGTCGAACAGCATCTCCAGCTGTTGTTTCAGTTGGCACAGAAGAGAAGAGACTGGCATGCTCTAATGGACACGGCGGTAGCAGCGACAAACAAATAGAATAAAGCAGTACAAAAACTTGTTTGTTCTTGGTTTTTTTATGAAGTTGAACATTTTAATATCAAACTGCTAGCAATTAACAATAATATTTTTATAAACGCTTTGATATTTACGACTAAAGTTTAGAGAAACATAATTTTTTATTATCAGCAATTAGTAATTTAATGGCGCAATAAAATCAAGTCTATGTATAAACATGTTAATGCTTATATGTATGCCTTTATTAATGTTTGTATGTACGTATTTATGTATGTTATTTAACCTGAGCTTGATTGAAATATATTATTTTCTCATAGTATTTAGCAATTTAATAATGACAAGCAAAATATGTACCTCCATCAACAATGTAAAATGATCTCACGCCAATGTATAATCCGCTTATCATTTCAGATTGACAATACCATTGTGCAGACAGTTTTGAAATTTTAAGGCAATCAAAGCAAGTGGCAGGCGTAAACACAAAACAAAATGTCCAATAAGCCATACAGTGCGATTAGTATAACCAATTGTGGCTTAGATGACCCACAGGTAATTGACACATGATCGATTACAAAGTCCAACTAGAGTAATTTAGTTGTATTTTTGTATTGCAGAGTGAGCTGGGTGCCGCCTTCGCCAACAACAATATTGGTGATTTTCACATAGCGCTCGATAAAGGCGCGAATCCGGCCAGACCCGATGACAAACACATGAGCGTCTATGAGTTGGCGCTAAAAACACATGGACGCGCTGCTTTTGTGGAAGAATGCTTGAGGCGTGGTTGCAGTCCAAATCATGTGAGTGGTGGAAGGGCTAGAAATATATGATACTGTAAATAGCAGGGCAATTCGTGCGATTGTCGTTAAACTCACCACAGTCTTTCGTAGGACAATTTCAATTCTGGTGACTACCTTTCAAGCTCTTTTATGTGTTTCGAAAGACTCATTGAAAGATCTGCTAACGAGAAGATTTTAGCGTTATTCTGTTTGTCTTTGGCAATACCTAACGTTTCTAAAAATTTAATGAAATTAAAAAATTTTAATATTTCTTTTCTTTTTAAAACAATACTAAACTATAAACTAAAAATAAAATATAAATTAAAATAAATTTTAATTAACTGAAGAACAAAATAATAAAATATGTTTCAAAATATTAAATGGTATTCAAAAGGTAAAATCAAAAATTTAAAAAAAAAAATTAAAAAATTAAATGAAATAAAACAATATACGTTCCTAAGAATTAAATAAAATTCAACAAATTTTTTCTTTATAAAGTATGTATTATAATCTAAACATTAAAAGCACATTAAATAGCAAAAAAATAAAATAAAATAACTCCCAAAAAATTACAATAATCAAAAAATATTTTTTTTTTTATTTAGGATAAAATGTAAAACTTCAAAGTTAATTTAATTAAAAAATATATAAATAATTACAAAACAGAAAAAAGGTCAAATAAGTTCCTAAAATTAAATGAAATTTATAAAATATTTTTTCTGTGCAAAATAATAAAATCTGAAAATTAAATTAAAAAATATTTAATTCTATCTTATCTATATCTTTCTAAAAGATATAAATCGAAAAAATAAGAGAAAATTACAAACAAAAAAGAAGAAATTTTATTAAAAAATAAACAGAAAAAATATGAATTCCTAAAAATTAAATGAACTTACAAAAAAAAATATCTTGCTTTTTAATAACATAAGACCTAAAACTTAAAAGAACTTTGAATAAAAAAATTAAAACTGATTACACAACAGAAAAACTAAATAAAACAAGTTCCTAAAAATTTCACGAAATTAAAAAATATATATATTTTTGGTTTTTAAAACAACAAAATCAATATCTTTAATTAAAACAACAAAAACTTTTAATAAAGGGAGAAAAAAATTTCTGAAGATTACATTAATTAAAACAATAAAATCTAAGAATTAAATTTAAAAAACTAAATTTAAAAAAATCAAAAAGGCTGTTAATAATTAAATAGCAACTAAAAAACTTTTGTTTTTAAAACTATAAAATTTAAAAATGAAAAGAAAATAAAAAAATAAAAATTAAATAAAAAATTCGAAAATACAAATGTTTTTTTTTAAATCTAAAAGTTATTAAAAAAGAAACAAAGTTAAATTTAAAATTTTATATAAAAAATAAGTGAAATTTAAAAAATGTATATATTTTTCCCTTTACAACAAAAAAATATAAAAATTAAAAGAATATGAAATTTAAAAAATAAAAGAAAATTAAAAAAAGAACTACGGATCTCTCAAATGGCATGCGATTGCTTTGGTCACTAGGTCATTGCGAGTGTTAGAGCAGCGTGAGCAAAATGATAACACAAGTGCTTTCTGTCAAAAAAGCTTTTCTCCATGAGAGTTGGCAAAAGAGCTTGTAAGACTTTCGCGACAGATAAAAAAGAAAATCTTTTAAACCATATCGCCAAAATTGCCCTGTCAGTAGAGCAAAGAAGTGATATTTACAAATGTATACAAGAAGCTTTCGGTTCTAATTTCCCTACACGCTTTTCTTTTCAATTACAGCTAAATCAACACTGGAAGAAGTCAGCCATCAGTTTTGCCGCCGATTCTCGCGATCCGCAGATTATAAGCGCACTTCTGCGCAGCGCGGGCGTGGACGTTGATCGCACCTATGCAAAGCTGACGCCACTCAATTCACTAGCCAAAAATCTAGCGGCCGACAATCAAAGCGATGTCAGCGCTTGCATAAAACTCTTGCTCGACTATGGCGCTTCTCCGAACAAGCCCGATGATCGCGAAATGACACCGCTCAATTATGTCTTAAAGAATCGCAAAATCAATGCGGAGACGAAGCGGGAACTGGTACAACTTTTCACCTCTCTACAAGATCTAGACGTGGACAGCTTTCGTGACGGTGAAGTGCGCGAATTGCTGCGACGCGACTACCCTGAAGTGATTTTGCCACCACCACAAGCGAGCGGTGCGGACGTCAGCTTCGAAAAGCTAATTTCACATTTGCGCAACGGCGACGAAGAGAAGTTCGTGCAACAGCTGCAGTCCTACGAACGTCACATGTTGGAAAAAAACAATAACACTAATGAAGTGCAAGAGCAGAAGCTCCAACTATTTATGGAATCGGTCAAGCGGGGCACGCATGAAGCATTCGATACGCTGCTAAGACACGACGTCAATATTAATGGCGTCAAAGATGGCCAAACACCCATACAGCTGGCTGCCATTTGGGGTAACTGGCGCGCACTGAAAGCCTTACTGGCGCTTGAGGATCTAAAATTACGTCGCCAAGATCAGTTATTAATCACCACTATCGGCCACTTGGACGACGAACCCTTGCATGATTTCGTTAACTACCAGAAATGTCTCTACATTCTACTGAATTCAGAGCGCATCGATGTGAATGAATCTGACCCCAGTGGCTCCACACCGCTCCACTACGCTGTCAAGTATCGTAACCGTTTAGTTATACAAGAGCTGTTGCGTCATGGCGCCTATATTGGTATGCGAAGCGCTTTCTCCGACCTACCCATCGATGGCATGCACCCTGAAGTGCTGGAGGAACACTTTGACAGTTGCATTACCACAAACGGTCGCAAACCTGGCGACAATGACTTTGAAATACTAATTAATTTTAAGAATCTCATACCACATCCCACTTCCGGTCATGCACAGAAATTGCGCGCGCAAAACTTTCGCGAAGAGATGCCACCAATCGCTTTTATCGCGGAGTCCAAAGAGCACCGCCATCTACTTCAGCATCCACTCATCACCAGCTTCCTGTTCCTCAAGTGGCATCGTCTTTCGGTCATCTTCTACATCAACTTTCTACTCTACTTTTTCTTCGCTCTGAGTATAATAATACACACAATTCTTAAGTTTCGCGAGAGCGAGCACGAAGCAGTTACCGTGCTGTTTGGTCTGTTCTCATGGATCGGCATCATTTACCTGCTGGTGCGCGAGATAACACAATTTGTTCTGGCGCCTTTAAAATATTTCCGCTCCCCAACTAATTACATGGAAGTGGCGCTCATCATACTCTCCATAATGACTTGCACCGAACCGAGTTATAATCGCGAGACGCAACGGGTAATCGCCGTTTTTACAATACTACTCGTGGCACTGGAACTTTGCTTGCTAGTTGGCTCTTTGCCTGTACTCTCCATATCTACTCACATGCTAATGTTGCGCGCCGTTTCGAAGAGCTTCATCAAGAGCTTCGCACTCTATTCGATCTTTGTAATAACATTCAGCTTGTGCTTCTACATTCTATTCGGCAAGCCATCGGAGGGGAGTGAGGTGGACGCAGCGAATGGTACGGATGCCGCAAACTATGGTGGCGAGTTCAATAAGTTTGCCAACCCCTTCACAGCGGTCATCAAGACAATTGTGATGTTGACTGGAGAATTCGATGCTGGTGACATTGAGTTTGATTCACTCTACAGCTACTTGATCTTCTTAATGTTCGTGGTATTCATGTCGATCGTGCTTTTCAATTTGCTCAATGGTCTGGCTGTTAGTGACACACAGGTGAGTTAGTGGAGTCTGATAACCCGATATTTGAAGGTCATTCGTGTACGTACGTATTCTAAGGGTAGTGTCGTTGATTAGTACCGAAATCGATCATATATACAATACTGCTTACTCTGGCCCAAGGAGAATTTTGATACCACTGGTTGAGAATCCTCGTAAATTCGATAGAAACTTTGGACTCTATTCTGTTATATTTTAAAATTTTAAAAGCAGCTTGGCTGTCGGAATATATGGTGATAGTCCATTCTCGAAGGGTGGAAGTGTGAGCCGACAGTTGACTACAGTAAATCGCACTGTCCATTCATTCGTTTAACTTGGAATCATCTGTCTACATATGTAGCTGTCGACTCTGGGTTTAGGTGTGTGGCAACTTCGCATCCGTTTCTCTTTAGGATTCTTATGGGGAATTTGTTGTCCGGCAACGCCACAGCCGGCCATAAATTCACCATAGAAATCCAGCGGTATAAGATTTAAGATTACTTCCAGATATTTTATCTGGTGGCTAGTGCTCGCGTGACAAGCATAGAAGGCGTCTTCAGTACCCGTTCCAACTTGGCTCTGGCCAAAATCTTGTTTAACGCCGGCGACAATAAGGTGACCGCGTAGAAGAGATGTGTCTTACTGCTGTGTGTGTACAGCTGTGTACATCTAGTGTACTGTATAAATATATGTATGTGGTTCTTTTCCCCATTCATTGAATATGTAAATATTTTGCTTCCTCTTTGTTTCCTTTATTCCCAAGCGCGACATAAGGCATCTACTACGACTGTTCTTCTGCATGTTTCGCGCGGTCGACCGTGTCGATTCCATTACAAGGACTTCTTTGCATACTTCCAGATGTCAAAGGGCTCTGTGCTAGTATTTCTGAGATGATTTTAGGCCAAAAAGTACGGAGACTCATTCAAAGACACCTGTTTATGAAAACTTGCAGGCGCCTGGTTATTGCAGTAGTGAGTTTCCAGGTGAAACTGGCACAAAGCAGTACCCAGAACACATTAAACCTGAAAAGCCTAAAATTTTAAAAGATGGAACATGTCACCACAATACATGGCTAGCATACCTAGAACCTTGGTCTTATTAAAGTTGATCCTCATGCAGGCAGTCTTAGCTTATCTGTGTAGCGCATGGCCAATTTTAGACACCAAATTTAGATACACCAGGATACAGCGTAGTTAATGTGACCACCGAAGCCTGCAGTCGGAGGGTGGCCTCATGCTAGCATCTAACACCTGCCCAAAATCACTAATTATTTTCCTCTTGTTCTACATTTTTGAAACCCTGAGTTCAATTAAGTAATTGGGTTTCATTTATTATATTCGTATTTATACAATCAACTCTCTTTAACCGACTTCAAAAATGGAGGAGGTTATCAATTCGTCGGAATACCAATTTTATTTTTTAATTTTTTTTTTAACTTTGGACCACGTTAACCTCAGAGATTTCATGAACAAATTAACGGTACTCTTATGAGAATTGAAGTCAATTTTGTTGTTTGCTTCAAAATTACTTATTTAATTTTTATTATTTCTTTCTTTGAACTATTTCCAAGACCTCTACTTTAGGCAACATTTTTCCCTTGTTCTCTTCCCACAGGCCATTAAAGCACAAGCCGAATTGAACGGTTCCATTTGCCGCACCATTCTACTCACACGCTACGAACAAGTTTTGACCGGACGCTCCGGACATGCAAGTTTTATCATTACACACGAACCCTTCCGCACCATATGTCGTCGTCTGATGAATCTCGATTCCAACTATATTGTAGGCCGCCAAATCGCTATACTGCCGAACGATAGCAATAAAGTTTTAGTTGGTACGTCCAGCGGTAATGAAGCTGTTGAATTGAAACCCGATTTGTCGCGAACAAATGGAGTGCGCAACTCCAAGACAACATTCCTGCCATTGAGCGAGGAAGATGGCAGTGATCACAACAAAAAGTTGCTTGATGCACCCGTCTCTTTCCTACCCTGCTGCTGTGCCTGTATAACCGGCAAGTGCTCGGAAATGGATAGTCGCACAGTGAAGCTGGCAATCGCAGTGATCGAACGGAAGACAACAGTGCAACAGGACAAAATGCGCGGCGAGAATACGGAGAGGCGGTTGAGAAATATTGAAGAGCGATTGGCAGAGATGACGCAGCTGCTTCATAAATTAGCTGCGGAGTAATATA